CCCCCCCCCCCCCCGAGTACAAAATTTTTTGTCCCCCGGGCCTCTAGTCTATAATAATAAAAGTGTAATATGCTAAATACACTGGACAGCTGAATGACCTTCCAGACATCATTCTGGACATCCTTCCAGATGAAGCTGCTGCAGTGGGGGCCAAGGCAGAGGTGGTTAGAGGCAATGAGACAGGCAGGCAGAGTCAGTTGGGGTGATCAGGCAGGCAGGCGAGCAGTTAGGGGCAATCCAGCTGGCAGGTGAGTGGTTAGGGATGATCAGGAAGGCAGGCAGATGAGCAATTAGGAGCCAGCCGTCCCAGATTGAGAGGGATGTCCAACTGGCAGTTGGACATCGTCTGAGGGGTTCCGGATTGCGAGAGGGTGCAGGCTGGTCTGAGGGACCTCAGTGTGCATGAATTTCATGCACCGGGCCTCTAGTTCTATATAATAAAAGGCTAATATGCAAATAGACTGAACAGCAGGACAACTGAACAACCGAACAACTGTTCACTATGGTGTGCACTGACCACCAGGGGGTGTGCATGGAACATGGCAGCCATTGACAGCAGGTGGCAGAATGTGGAACATAGCGGGCATTGGCCATGGCAAGATGGTGAAGCAGGTGAGCAGGGGCACCAGACCAAGGCAGGGCACTGGTCACTATTATTGGGGCGAGCCTCTGGTGGTTACTGAAAATACTTTGCTCCCACATGCCGTGGTCCCTGCTGGCACTTGCACCTGCTGCTGGCATGGGCCCTGCTCACACCCGCTGCTGGCCCTGGAGCCGCTGCTGACACTGACTGCTGGTTCCGGTCCTGCTTGCACCCGCTGCTGGAGGCTGGCGTTGGTCCTGATTGCTCGACGCTGTCAGCAGGTGCAAGCAGGGTCAGCACCGTCAGCACATAGGAGTGGCAGCAGTGGGAGCATGACTGATGGCAGACAGGGAATCAGGGGCCATCGTGGGAGGGGAGGATGGACTTAGACCTGCCCCTGTGCCCACCACAGCCTCATGGCCCACAGTTCCTTTCAAGGTGCACGAATTCATGAACTGAGCCCCTAGTTTGTAATAATAAGGGTGCATCTATCTTATAAAATCAGTACAATAATAATTTTTTGCTCTAAATTTGAAAGCTTTAATAAGATATAAGCCACCATAAAACAGTTAAAAGACAAGGAAGTATATTTATAAAGTTCAGACTACATAGCAAACACTCTCTTTTTTATTTTTTATTGATTTTTTACAGAGAGGAAGGGAGAGGGATAGAGAGTTAGAAACATCGATGAGAAAGAAACATAGATCAGCTGCCTCCTGAACACCCCCTACTGGGGATGTGCCCACAACCAAGGTACATGCCCTTGACCAGAATCGAACCTGGGACCCTTCAGTCCACAGGCTGACGCTCTATCCACTGAGCAAAACTGGCTAGGGCAGCAAACACTCTCTTACCATTAAAGAAAGGACAATCATCTCAACTGATTACATTGGCCCAAAATAAACCAGCAATTGACAGACCAGGCAATTAACTGTAAATGGCCAATAGGCACAAAAACCTGTTCAACCCACCATGTAATCTGAGAATGCAAATGAACAGGATGCATTCCCTTATTTGGCACCTCTGTGAAGTCTGGGTGTGGAGAGATGGCTCATGGCTAATGGTAGCAGAATATAGTGTTTCAGCCACTAGGAAGGAAATTTGGTAGGATCTGTAAACAATTAAATATTAGTACTCCTTACCTCAAACAATTTTACCTTTTGGTTTTTGACATAGGACAAACAATTGTACATATGCAAAAAACAAAGAAATGTATAATTGTTATTTATTGTGATTTGTTAGTAACAGTAAACAACTGAAATGAACAGAAATGGTTTAAATGGAACATAATTTAAAAATTTTGGTATATCAGTTCCATGGTGTAATATGCAGCTGTTAAGAGTGAGGAGGATCCATATGTTTATTAACATGAAAAGACCTCTAATAATTTTAATATTAAAAAATTTTAAATGTAAAATGCAGAATGGTTTCTAAAAAATAATCTTATTCAACAAAAAACAAGACACATATTATTTTTTAGAAAAATAAGTTATATGTGTAAATGTGAAGAGAAAGATATAAAATTCCATGCCCACAATACTCAACAGGACCAGAATTGGAAGCTACAGTGGGGTGGGTGGTGAAATAGAACTTTTCCCTTCTACATACATCCATGCCATTTGAAATTTTATGACCAAGATTGTGTAATGTGTTTCTTTTGTATTAAAAAGATATCCAATCAAACATATTAAGTAACTAGAGGCCTGGTGCACGAAATTCATGTACCGGGGGGGGGTATCTTTCAGCCCAGCTTGCACCCTTTCCAATTTGGGACCCTTCGGGGGATGTCCAACTCACAATCCTGGACTGCTGGCTCCCAACTGTTCACCTGCTTGCCAGCCTGTTCACCCCCTAACCACTCCCCTGCCAGCCTGATCAAAGCCGAAGCCTAACTGCTCCCCTGACAGTCCAATTGCCCCTAACTGCCCTCCCATGAAGGCCTGGTCCCCCCCCCAACTGGCCTCTCTCCCTTGCTGGCCTGATCACCCGCAACTGCCCTCCCCTGCAGGCCATCTTGTGGCAGCCATCTTTTGACCACATGGGAGTGACCATCATGTGTGAGGGCATGACGGTCAATTTGCATATAACTGCTTTATTATATAGGATGTTATTTCTGACCCATTACTAGAGAAAAGAACAGAATTTCTAGCCATTGCCTTGTCAGAGATATAACCCATTACTAAGCAGAAATTCAAAGTACAGATGAAAATACTCAACCTACATTATTCTTTCCCATCTTGTCTTTCCTCTTCCTTTTACTCCCTTAGATTAAGATCCCTGGGGGAAGAACCCAGAACCTTAGCCAGAGATGGGAATAAGCCCAGGCTGACAACTCCTCAGTTTAGGTAGGAGACCATGGCATCTAGAATTTTATATTTTCTAAAGTACCTACTTTAGAACAGCCTAGGTTAAGGCAAAGGGGGACTGAGGGAAATGAGAGCATTAAGACATCATGAAAAAATAACAAATCACTGTCTCAAAGCATCAGAAATGACAGCTGAGTCCAGATGGGCTGCCAGCTGAGCAGTAGCTGTAAGAAAAGAGTCCTGTGGGTTGTGGCAGCTGCACTCACACCAGCAACTGTCCCTCTGCAGTTTAAAGATCTGATTCCCTCACTTGTATTCCTGCATTTCATTACATTGCACAAGAGTGTTCTTGTAAAGCAGGATGAGGTCAAGGTTTACACGAGTGTCTAGTGACACACACTAAAGCAGCAGCACAATCTGAGAGAAAGTTAAAGGAAGGGAGACAGAGACTGACCTGGTGCTGAGTTCAGTGCCCCCACTGGCCATCATCTTGCCCTGGGCCCTTTCTGGGCTTGTAGCCCTCCTGTGTTCCCAGCCTGCATCTAGTGTGGCTGCCCAGTCCTGAGCAGGAAGTGTGTACAATCTCCCGGGGAGAGCTCCTCCCAAATGGGGAAATTAGAAGTGAAACTAACTTTCTGAGTATTTTCAGACATATCTCCCTCCTTCTGCAGCCCAGCAGCAGTTCTCAGCCATCAGGACATGTGGCAGCAGGAATGGAGGACAAAAAGAGACAGTCAGGACCAGGAGGCAAGGGGAGGAGGACCCAAGGGGAGGAGCAGGACCAGCCCCCAGGAGTCTTCTTGTTTGAACAACGACTCCAAAAACAGAAAAATAGTCTAGCTATGGGCCTGGAAACTTGGAGAGCAGGAGAGGCAGCGACTCAAAAGGGACAGGGGGCAGAGAAAACACCCAGGGGACATGCTTCCTTAGCTTCACCAGGAGCAGCTTCCATTCAGACCACAGTAGTGGGCTGAGTCTCCAGCCTGGGAGACCCTCTGGGGACAGGGTTGTCCCTGAGAGGAGGCAGAGTCCCAGACCTGAGAATTCAGGGGCAGGAGGAAGCGGAGGCAACAGCATCAGCAGCTTCTGGTGCAGAGGATGAAGACCTGGGACCTCCCTGGATGCAGAAATGGAGAGGAGGGGCACCTGGGACCCAAGTGGGAGCACTCAGGCCCCACATTGATGTCCCCTTCTGGGAGGTGGACCATCAGTCAGCAGGACTCCTGGCCCCCCTGCCCTCCCTTCTTCCTGGGGAGTCTCTGAGGCTGGGAGTTCTGGGAAGGTGAGTCTGCTCCTTGGTGGGTCTCCCTGGGCATCCTGCTGGAGGGGCCAGCGCTCTGTGCTCCTCTGAGCTCCAGTGCACAGGGATAGCGACCTGGGGTGTGGGGAATGTGTGTGGTTGATTGGAGCAGCCTTGGGCCTTGTGAATAAGCCCAGTTCTGGGGTTCAGATTGAGGAATTATTTTTTGACACACATCCAAACCATGTCCCCAGCTTTTATGAGGAAGAAAGCTGGTATTTTGCTCCCCATCTGTCTCACATTTTTGCCTGTCAGTTGGTTAGAAATTCAGGTGGAAAGGCATGCATTTTTTTTGGGGGGGGAGGGCGGGGAAACAAACACCTTGAAAGGAGTCAAGCACCTGGGTGTATGTCTTGCTCCTTGAGTTCTTGTCCATTTATGCCCTAGATGGGTAAAGAGGTGGGCAGTCATACCCCTGGCAATTGCATGGTTGTGTAGACTTGATGGCACTCAATGGCAATATTTTAGTTTTTAGGGGCTGGGGTGCAGTAGAACTTAGTAGAACCTTTGTGACTGGGTTCAGTGTGGGTACAGCTGTGGACTCCTGAGTCTTCCTACAAAGCTGGTAAGAATCCAGATGGGTTGTTGGAGGGGAAATGTGATTGTCTCTATAGAGAAGGCACCAAATTCTTGGAAAAGGGGTCTGGAAGAGACATCTGGGCAGAGGAAGAAGAGATTAAGGAATGAGGTTAAGTTAAGGCATGCAGAAAAGAAGGAGACTATAGGGGAGCACAGTAATCCTATCTGGGCCACATTCGGAAGGTCTAGGGCTATGCATGAGAAACCCCCCTCTGCAGGCCAAAGAGGAAGGAGGCTGGACCAGGGCCACATGGCCTGTCCCAACCCACAGTCGCCACCATCACTACAGCCCTTTATTTGGAACCCTGGGCTCCACCTCAGGGGAAGTTAGTGACCTGTATCCAGAATGGAACAAGGATAGATTTTTGTGGTACCTGTGCTGGGCTACATATCTGGTGCTTCAGCCAGGTGGGGCATGCTGTGCTCTCTGTTCCTAAAACACATAGATATGAATGTGCTGGCACTTCGGCCAGGCGGGGCACACTGTACTCTCTGTTCCTAGGGCACATAGATAGGAAGGTGGTCACCGTACTGATGCTGTACTGTGTCGGGAACAAATTGTGTAAACAAGGCTTTGTAACTAACTTTGTGGTTTTTGCAAATAAAAATGCTGTAACTCCTGTAGTTGGCACTGCAGTTCAGCCTTTGCTTTGGCAGAGTGCTGTAACTGTAGTTGCTGGCCAGCTTAATAAAGGCTCCTAAATTTTTATCTGAGTCCTTTGTGGTTGTCTCCACGGGTCACCCCATTACATTTGGAGGCCCGCAGCGAGATCCACTCTGGCCGAGTTGCCAGTGGACACCCCGGATGCCCCAGGTGAGGACTCTCCAGTCTCCCTCCCTGGTCCCAGGGAGGTGGATTGTTTTCCTCCCAAAACTGCAATCTGAAAACGATGAGCCACCTGGACCTCCAGCGGGGAGGTAAGAATCTGGTATCTGTCTGTGGAACGTTCCCTTTAGGACTCAAAAGAGGACTGGACGCAGCGGAACCTCGGAGTCTGGCTGCCCGGACGTGAAGGCGTCTGTGGGTCCTGGTCTGGGCAACCTTAGGTTGCATTTGTATGAATGTAAGTGTGAGAGTCTGTGTGAAGTGAAAGCTACTTTGTGCCATCTGGCTGTACACATGAGAGTATTTGTTATCTCTTTTTGTTGTTTGTTTAAAGATAGGGCAAACCCTGCTTTCAGGGGAAGAAAGTAGAGAACTTTTAATTGCTTTCCTCTGATGTATAATTTTGCTGTGTTAGGTTAAAATTTTAGAAGTCTAAGGTTAATTTAAAGGTATAAAATTTATGAAGGTTACAATCCAGAGAATTTCAAACAAAGGCTTGTTGGGTTAAGATTAGTACATTTTCTCATGGTCTGTGTAAGATGAGGGAGAGGGACTGCCAGATTTTTATCATGTAGTCCCGAGATCTGAAACCTGCCTGCCCTTCCTGATAGATTTACAGTAGGTCTCTTCTGGGGACAGAATCCGCTCTGACTAGGGGAGGAAGAGAGCCGAAAACTGCTCCAAAGCGGATATAAAATGGGGTAATGGCAGTAGGATTCACTAGATAGGGTAGTAGGCTCTCAGCCTGCTGAGATGGAAGAGCCCTAGGCTGGGGGACAAGGGGATAGTCAGAGAAGTCGAAAGTGGTAAAAGAGGAGAAGGATTTGAGCCTCTGGGGCTTAGAGTAAAGAAGGAAAAATCTAGGAGGGAGAGCAGATAAGGACAGAGTAAATGGTTAATGTCAGAAAAAGGGAGGCTGTCAGCAGGGAGAGATAGTTTTTGTTGATTTTTACTTATCTGAACTATGCTGGACTCAAGGCTGCAAGCTGCTACTAAGCACAGTGTTTTTCTCTGTCCTGTTTTGTTCTCTTTAACCCTTCCAATACTAAATTAGACCAATACAATATACTTGAAATTACATAAGGAAGCAGTTCTTACCTGTTCTTAGTAATCTAAGAAATACTGGCTATTTACTTTATAGTAATCATTAAAGGATTGAGGTTTCTAAGAATAAGGAATTACTGAGTAGAAGGTCTGAGGCATGGTTATACATTTTTAAAGAACATAGAAAGAAGGTTTGAAGGCTAATTTGAAAGTGTTAAATTTATAAAGGTTGTGTATGTAATAAGAAAGAGAAGAGAAATATTAAAAGGAAATTAATTAAATAATACAGGCAAGTAAGCCAGGAAGAGTAAATAATTTACATTCTGCCTCCCTAAACAGAGGGTAAATAGTTATGCCAAAGTACTTAGGGGGGACTGATAAAAGAAATCCAACAGTTACTGTTTTATTATTACTGATGAGAGTCCATAAAAAGGACTGGCAAGGAAAATCAGAAGATCTTAAGGCAGGTCAGTAGCTTTTTCTACTTATGTAAGTCCTCTGAAATTTGGCAATACTTAATAAATAAATCATGGCAATACATTTCTTTGCATAAATTCAATAAGACCAGTTTCCAATAGTGGTTTTATTGACCAAAAACTTTGACTGGAGTATCATGTTTTAAAGAGCCCTGTCTGAGCTCTGAAAACTTGAAGCCAATAAGAGTGCCACGGATAAAGCCTGGCATCTTGCTTAGTAGCCCTGAAAATAGCTGATGCTGGAGTGTCAGGCCCATGCCCTACCATCACTGGTGGTTGGTCAGAGTAGAAGGGGAGTAATAAGGGCATCTCTGTGTCCTTGCGGAACCCCCATGCACTCTGGGCCACGACGAGTAGGAAGGCTGCTAAGAAGGGCCTTAAAGCAAGGACGATGGGCCCAGGCAGAGCCACTGCAGGTGAGGAATTCACCTAACTCAGCAGATACTGCAGGCAGGCCTGATGGCGGCTAGATGGCTTAGGTTCCTGGCCCTATGGGGCACATTAAGATTCAATCATTAAATTCCAGCAAAGGTAGTCAGTTACCATTCTTGTTGTGTTTATGCAAACAATCAGGCCAAATTAAATACAGTAAATAAATTAGTTTTTTTTTTAATAAACAGAGGGATAATTTTAAGGAGAAAAACTCTATTTCAATGGAGGTTATTAAAGCTGAAATGTTTTCTTTCCCTTCCCCCAGACCATTTGTTACAGTTTGTCTCTGCCAGGT